TGCTTCCTCAGATTCAGTAACATTAGCAAGTGGTGGAGGCCAGCAGGTGGATGAGAGAAAGGGGAGGCAGGAGCAGAGACCCGAGGCAGCCGCCGGTCCGAGTGTCAGGTGAACTGAACTTCAGGTAAGAAGTTATGACCTGCAGTCTATCTGGGTCAGATATAAACCAAGTTTAGGTGGAGTTTATTTTCGTTGTGCTGACTTTTTACAGTCAGTTACAATAACTCGTACTGCGTACTAGCTAGCATGACGGAGTTTCTATACAGCTGGGTGGGTGCTATGATGTTACTGATAGTGAACTTTATTTTATTCATAAGGTTAGTTAGTAGAGTTGCCAACCGTCCCGTAAAAAATGGAATCGTCCCGTATTCAGAGAAAATATTACGAGTTTCGTATTGAGCTGAAAAGGAACACAGTTTGTCCCGTACTTCAGCTAGAATGAAAAAGACACAAAGCTGGAGTTATTCTGTCTTTGCTTCTTCTCTCATTCTCTCCCCTCCCTCTCCTGTTTCTACTCAATCATGAAACTGATCAATATTTTCTCTGAATACGAGACGATTCATTTTTTACGGGACGGTTGGCAACTCTACTAACTAACCTTATGAATAAAATAAAGTTCACTATCAGTAACATCATAGCACCCACCCAGCTGTATAGAAACTCCTGTCATGCTAGCTAGTACGCAGTACGAGTTATTGTAACTGACTGTAAAAAGTCAGCACAACGAAAATAAACTCCACCTAAACTTGGTTTATATCTGACCCAGATAGACTGCAGGTCATAACTTCTTACCTGAAGTTCAGTTCACCTGACACTCGGACCGCGGCTGCCTCGGGTCTCTGCTCCTGCCTCCCCTTTCTCATCCACCTGCTGGCCTCCACCACTTGCTAATGTTACTGAATCTGAGGAAGCACCGCCATAGCCACCACCAAACAACTGAGTTATTTTTACACACCGACCAGCATCTGGCCAATCCACCACCTTTCATTGTTTATACCGTTACAAAGAAAAAAAAAAGTCACCGGGCCACCGAGCAAATGCCCGGTATGCCCGATGGCCAGTCCAGCTATGGTCGTGCCATCAATTAACCCTTCGCGTGCCAGCTGTGGCATGCGTGCCTAGGGTTGCCGACCCCTGGTGTAAACTTACATATTAATGTATGTATAGTCCAAAAAAATGGATGAACACTTTGAAAATGCATACTCTTGCCACAGAAGGCATATGAGGCATTGTTGTGCACCATGAGGAACCCAGGACCCACTGCACCAACGTAGGCTTTGACAATCCAAGGATTTCTTTCTGATACCTAATGGCAGTCAGGGTGCTGTTGTATTCGTGTATCCACCTTGAGGAATCACCAGTAAAACACTTCTTTCTTCAATTATTATTTATTAAGACATAGACATAGAATGATTAAATATTATCATGTGCATGAATCTCTTTTGTTCAGAAAACCACAGGCTGTAAACCAGTTAGCGGAGTTCACAGAGTTTTATATGAGAATGTGCAGCTATCTAAAACTGGCTGGGAGATGCTGCTTGTTTTACAGGCTTTATTTGTAATAGAATTACATTTCTATGTAATTCTAGAATGTATATTTCTTTACCAGGTTCACATATGAAGTTTCGCCTGTTTTCCTCCTCATTGAGGAGGCTCTGCTGAAAAAAATGCGAAGCATTGTGGGGTGGGCTGATGATGAGGGTGACGGACTCTTCTGTCCAGGTAAAAAAAGATATGACAAAAATCTGCTTCAAGAAGTTCAAAGTAAACACCTTTAGATATGCATAACTGACTAATTAAAGAAAAAACCTGAACCTTTGACCTCTATGAATGATAAAGCTATTTTTTTTATATATTATGGTCATTTTATGCACTAAGGGGAATTTTTACTGCCATGGATTTTGTCAAAATGCATGCACACCATGATTTACACTCTTTACAAATCAGTACAAAATTGATTTGACTTTGAGTTTAGATTGAGTAAATTGAGTTTAGAGTATCAGTAGTTAAAGAAAGGTATACAATGGACTAACTTTCTACTTGCATTCTATTTTCTATAGGAGGCACGATATCCAATCTGTACAGCATCCTCTTGGCCAGGTATCACTTCTACCCAGAGGTGAAGACCAGAGGGATGGGAGCTCTGCCTCGGCTGGCCATGTTCACGTCAGAACATGTAATCATAACTCGCACACTCTTTCAATCTATGGGCGTAAGCCCTGCAGCTCCACATGAAAGTGGCATTATTTTGACTTCTTGCATTGTTTCTGGTCTAACATGTCTGATGTTCATTTTTGCGTTTAATAAGACCTTCAAAAGAAGTTACAGTACTTCAGTCCAATTACAATCCAAGTTTCAAGCCACCCCCCCCATTTCTTTGTATTTTGCTAGGAAAGTTGTAAATAGGAGGGCAGCACGGTGGCACGGTGGTTAGCACTGTTGCCGCACAGCAAGAAGGTCCTGAGTTCAATTCCACCATCAGGCCGGGGTCTTTCTGTGTGGAGTTTGCATGTTCTCCCCGTGTCTGCGTGGGTTCCCTCCGGGTACTCCGGCTTCCTCCCACCGTCCAAAGACATGCAGCTTGTGGGGATAGGTTAATTGGATAATCCAAATTGTCACTAGGTGTGAATGTGAGTATGAATGGTTGTCTGTCCCTGTGTGTTAGCCCTGTGACAGACTGGCGACCTGTCCAGGGTGTACCCCGCCTCTCGCCCTATGACAGCTGGGATTGGCACCAGCACCCCCCGCGACCCTGAAAAGGATAAGCGGTAGCGAATGGATGGAAGTTGTAAATAGGTTCAGTGAAGCATGTGTAAACATAAAGGGAAATATATATGTAAAATGATATATGAAAAACCAGAGTTTCTACAATTCTAAAAACTAAAAAAGAATATCACTATTTTGTATGAGTACCTTTATTCTTCAGCACAGCCTGAACAGGAAGGCATTCTTCAGATGTCTTTAAGTAGTCTTCAGAAATCCATTCAAAGGTCTACTTTTAATATTCTCCATCTTTTGTTCTGTTCTCTGTCAAGATGATCCCAAACTGCCTCAAAAATAAGATCAGGGTTATTGGGAAGCCTGCTCATCACTGATAGTCTTCCCATTGTGTGTTTCCAGATATGCTGTTATCATTTGAGATTATTGTTATGTTAAACATGCAGACTGGCTGTCAAGAAGGTGGCTTCTTGGTTCATCTGCTGAACTAGGTGCCCTGTTTGGGCTTGAATGGTACATATGCCAGCATCAAGTAGTGTGATGCACTAGCTAAAACTTTGAAAATCTCTCAGAAAGCTGAGCTGCTCAAGATGAGCTCTTTTAAGAATTTCAGGAAAGTTTGGTTCTTTGGAAGCAAAGTGAAAATACATAACTAGGCCAATGAAAAAGAAGGGTGGCACTGGCTCAAAACCTTTGCACTGTGCTGTTTATGGTTGGCTGTTTTTGTCAGTGCAATATCCTAAAATGGCTTGTGTGCAGCACGAGTGAAACACAATTACAGAATAATAAATATAAACGAGCACCTGCAAATGCCTTAATGGAATCACTATGAGCACTTCTTTCAGTTGAATCAAAGGGTTAAGTCTTTTTCTTGATATTGAAGTGAGACAAATACAGATGAAAGGCTGTCTCTCCTTCTATTCAGAGTCATTATTCAATAAAGAAATCTGCAGCTGTGCTGGGCATAGGCACTGAGAATGTGGTTGTGGTGAAATGTGATGAAAGGTGAGTAAGGTGCATGCTAACCACACCTGACATTAACACGGCCTAATCAAAGATGTTTGCTCACCTGTCCCAGTTTGTCTGTATTCATTTATATGTTTTGCTAAAATTGTTCCAATAGGAGAAGATATTTGATATTATGTTTCATAGATATTAAAAAACAACACATCTCACAATCTAAAACCGGTAAGTCGCATATCTATAATAATCAAATGATAATATATATATATATGGTTGAAATTGCTGATGTCAATTATATTAAATGATTCAAAAGTTCTCTATTCTGATGAAATCTGGATCTTAATTATTTTGCTCTCTTGTTTTACCTGAATTATTATATCTAGTCGCCCACTTTGACCAATCCTTATAGAAAGCCAGGAAATAAACCTTAGACGGAATGTTGGATTTGATTCCCATTGTCTGTTAACCTAAACAACAGACTGAGCAAAACGTCTTAAGCTTGATCAGCATAGTGTTAAATATTATCTTATAACTTTTCTTACTAACATGGTAAATCAGCTTTTTTGTTTGTATAGAGGGAAAATTTATTAGAACTGATGGTAACTTTTAATAGTAGATATATTTCAATAGTATCACGCCCTGGATATTTGCTGAGAAGAAAGAGCCACAGCTGTAAGCTGATGACTGGTCAAAGTTAATAATAGGTTTTTTGTATTTATTGTAAAGAGTGAAGAATAACCGGGAAACATCCCATAAAGAAAAAGATGGAACCACCAGGAGATGTTCTCTATGACTTCGAAATTGACCTATTCCAGACTCTGAAGACAGGGTGTATTGTTGAGAACAGTTTGTATTTTTACCTTGAACTGTACACGAGATGACAAGGAACCTATGACTTGATGTATTGTGAAGTTTTATTGAAAACTTGTTCCTGTATAATGGAGATATGCACGAACATTAGGACACCAAGCCGAATCCATTTACTAGATATGTGGCTGAAGCTAGTGCAACGGTAAACATGGTTGGAATTGTAAGTGCTTCTACATTCTGCAGCCGTCTTCGAGCACAGAGGACATCTAGCTAATAAGTGTTGCCAGTGTAATGTGATGAGCCAACAAATGTTTGTAAAAATAATTGGTAGAATTAGGGCAGTTGGCATATGTTTTTTTAGTTACACAGGAATAAAAGTCATGGATGGGACATAGGGAAATACTTAATTCTTTGATATTAATCATCAATTTTTTTGTCATCTATTAGGGAATGTCCTCGCTTAATTTAAATATATAAAATTAATTTTAACTTGAAGCTATAATCAACCAACAGTAGTGTCTTTATCTGACTTGGTGTGAGAACATGATATATATGTGAAATTCATATATTCATTATTTATGAATCAATTGAGGTGAGCAGCTGAAGAGAGTCGCAAAGCTTGCTGGTGGATATTCTAAATGAGAGATGGAGAACGTGGACAGGTGAGTCCTGCACCTGCTGGGATACATCAGACTAGAAGTGCCTGTGATCAATATGAACAGATTGTGATTAAACTGTCTTCAAGAAGGCGAGATGAGAGGACACACTATTAATTGCACGGAGGGAAATACTTTGATCTACAACAAGACATCAGTGACTAGTTGAGAGAGAGAGGTGAGCTAGAATTCTTTCATAACTAAAAACGAGTGAAAAGGTCACTCAGGGGTCGAGGACTTATAACTACGTGAATGACCTTGGGCACTCGCAGTATAAGACAATAGGTCTTGGGTGGGAAGGCGGAGACCAGAGATCACGATTAAACATGAATGAACAGTGTCTCTTAGAGTAATTAAAACACAAAACTAGCCATATAATGGCCGCGGAGTAAATTATTTATAAGTCTAATGATGAAGGTATTTTGTGAGAGACCGTAGAATAGCATTGCATTTTCTGCGTACGATGATACCACTACATTGCTCTTGGGTATAGAAGATTTTGAAGATTAAGAAGGAATCGGATTTGATGTGCAAAAAATGAAAATAAGCTGATAAACATATTACGTACTGAGAGACATATGAACCTATACTCTGAATAAGTGCACAAAGAAATATTAATAATCTATGAAAGAGTAAGATTCAGAAGCAATATATCGTATTGAAAGAGATCATTCAACTGGTTTAAAGTGAAAGAGCGTTATAAAATTTATTGCTAATGCAAAACTCAATGGTAAATAGGCAGACGTGTGACTTCACAGTTAGAAGGTGGAGAATGCTTAAGAAAGGTGGAGCAAGACTCGTATAACAGAAAGGATAATGCTAACATTACACCTGGATATTGAGCACATACAAAGACTCAAATCTGGGACAAATCTATACAAGAAGAGAGACAAATTGTAATTTTGTAATCTTCAATGATATGTCTATTACAAATCAGTTCTAATTTTCTTGTAGATAGATGGGCTTGGTCAAGTAGATGTATTTAGTGAACTATAAAAATATCAAAGGCAATCACAAGAGAGAGAAGGAGGCAACTAGAAAGCTGAGAGGCGTGCGGCTCCGCTATGGTGTGACAAGGTGTGCTCTAAGTTAGGGAGAAGGGGTGATATAGGTACTATAGAGGGATCTAATTAAGTCGATAAGCGAAAGAGATCGGGTGCGAATTGATGTGATCATTCCAAACTGGATCTATCAGGTTTTCCAGTGACTTAGCTTCTAGAGGTTGCAGCAAGATTTCCATCCATTACAGCTTAGTGTGTCACCAATAGTGTTCTTGGTGAGCGTGGTTCCAGCTGCCTTCAGATCATTAACAAGCAAAGGTCAAAGGTAATTTTATATTTCCTCCATTTCCACCTTCTCACCAAGCTTTTCACTGATGGTCTTATAACAAATTCCACCCTTGTGCAGGTTTATAAGCTTGTCACTGATGTTCCTTCACAATTTTGTAGAATTGCCCAGGTTGGAATGGAACAAACTGATTTTATAGACAGCTTTCTACATTTAACAAGTTCCAAATCCAAATCCAATTTATTTATATAGCACATTTAAAAACTTTAAAAAGTTTTCCCAAAGCGTTGTACAAGAACAAAGCAATAGATAAACCCACTCACACTAAAACACTCGCACAACACACCTTAGTTCTATCCGGTCGTTAAGTGATGACGCGACGAATCCTACTTCCGGGTCTAAAGTAGTCTGCGTTTAATATGGCTTTTGTGTTGTTAACATGTTTAATGTTATGTATTTTCTTCTATTTGATCTCAAAAAGCTCCTAAAACAGTCAGTGATCACTGTTGACCTCCCTCGGCTTTTATTACCACTAATCATTTATTTAAGCTCAGTTTTTAAAACCTTAGGATGTAACTACAGCCCAGCCCATGCAGCAGTATATGAATGACTAACCTCGTATTGTGGATGGATTATCTCAGTTGTTCTCCTGGCTGAAGTTTGGTCCTTTTACAGCATCCTGCCATGCGATTACATTTGTTCCTGACCACCGAGAACACTCACGTTAACTTTTATCGAGTGGAAAAAAAGTTAGCTTGTTTATATTATGCTAACATAGCTGTGTCGCTAGCGGTCACGTAGCACATCATTATATACCAGCTAGCCAAACTTCAGTAACCCTACAAACGTCACTGCTGTTTAGTTTTCTGTCTTCATTTATGTTGGAAGTGATAACAGAGCTGTACGTTTTAATTTGTTTCCAAAACCCCGCAGTCAGGACATGCTATATTGTATTTAGATAGAAGCTAGCGAGCTAACTTCCTGCTAACTTCTAACTCCGTTAAATGTCATAAATTCCGTTTTCATGGATGCCTGGATGTTAAACTCAATTGTTACACCTGGTAGAGCAGAACGCTGATCATTTTATTAAAGATGAAAGACTTTAGACAGTTTTTCAACTCTCAGTAATGCCACAGTGATCGTTTGATATATGGACCTGCAGCGGAGTTTAGGCCCAGACACGGCTAGTGACGTCAGACTGAACAACCGGATAGCACCAGATGAAGGGCAGCTGGAATCCACAGCTGTGCGTGTTCATGGAGCTGCATGTTCACCTGCTGGACATCACTACCTGACAACTTTAACTGTCTTCAGAACATTGAAGAGGCCTTATTGACAGTATTTGGCTCTACATATCTGTGTGAGCAGATTTTCTCTAACATGAGTCCTCAGGCAGCTGTCTGAATGCTGGACACTCGGAGACCTGTGTCTCTGAGTGGGAGACCAGAGATCACATTAACATGTGTGTCTCTGTATTAACAAACATGCCATATTGGCCCAGTTTATTTTTCTTATTATTGTTGTGAGGAGACCGTAAATAGCATTTGCATTTTCTGCTGTACAGTCCATTTGCTGTTATGGATAAAAAGTCTTTTTTTGTTTCAAAATAGCTGATAACTATTCGCTGACAGCTGCCAACATCTGTGCACAAATATAATTCTATAAAGTGTTTCTATATAGTTTATAACTGTTAATATAGAGCGTTATAAAATTTATTGCTAATGCAATCATATGGCACTGTGACTTCTGAGGAAATTCTAAATGGCACTCGTCATCAGAAAGGTTGCCTACCCCTGGTTTACACACACTCATCGGCATCGGTGTAATGGTAATTTCAATTATTTCTTTAAACAGTTCTTTTTCCTGGTTGAAATGATTGTCCATATTTATTTAATGAATTAAAAATTCAAATCACAGAGGAGGGGCCTGAAAGCTGGAGGCTCTGGCTCCTATTGTACAAGTGCTCTATTAGGGTGATATGGTACTATGAGGTCTTTAAGATAAGAAGGGTCTTGATTATTCAAGAGCAGGAGGTTGCAGCAAGATTTCCATCCATTACAGCTTAGTGTGTCACCAATAGTGTTCTTGGTGAGCGTGGTTCCAGCTGCCTTCAGATCATTAACAAGCAAAGGTCAAAGGTAATTTTATATTTCCTCCATTTCCACCTTCTCACCAAGCTTTTCACTGATGGTCTTATAACAAATTCCACCCTTGTGCAGGTTTATAAGCTTGTCACTGATGTTCCTTCACAATTTTGTAGAATTGCCCAGGTTGGAATGGAACAAACTGATTTTATAGACAGCTTTCTACATTTAACAAGTTCCAAATCCAAATCCAATTTATTTATATAGCACATTTAAAAACTTTAAAAAGTTTTCCCAAAGCGTTGTACAAGAACAAAGCAATAGATAAACCCACTCACACTAAAACACTCGCACAACACACCTTAGTTCTATCCGGTCGTTAAGTGATGACGCGACGAATCCTACTTCCGGGTCTAAAGTAGTCTGCGTTTAATATGGCTTTTGTGTTGTTAACATGTTTAATGTT